CGAGAGGCGCATAATTCTTCTCAGTGACATCCCGGGAGACACTGACGGTCTCACCCCCCACAAGGCTCTAGCTACCGCATTAAGGCTACCTACTATGCATCTGCTGTCTCAGACACACACACACACACACGCACGCACGCACTCACCACGGACAGAATGGTGGACTCTGTGGGTGCTTATTTCTGCGCTTGTTTATATTGCTATATATGTGGTTCGAGCTGTTGAGGCGCCTACTTTATATACTAAACAGTGCAGTCCACGCACACACTAAGATGGGGTGTAAGAAGGGACAATGTCAAGATGGGGAGAGACACGATCTCCCACCACCTTCCCTCCACCGAGCAGACTTCATCCTCCACCTCCAGTGATGGACATTGCCACCCTGAGGTGGATGGACGCACCGGGACGAGAGAAGCAGAGAGATGGAACTTCAGGAGGAGGAGACACTGAAGGAGGAGTGAAAAGTTGCGTTTTGAGGCACTATTGGCGCACTCCTGGCGCAACTCCACCCTCCCTCACTGCAGGGCGTGCACTCAAGGCGCCAACATCCTTCCTCCTCCACCACACCAGCGTCCTCCAGGTACTCTTGCCTCCAAAACAAGGAGCTCCTAAGGCATCTGTTCAACTCCCCACCCGCCCTCTCACCAGACGCCGCTTTCAGCTTTTTTCGTGAGTGGAAGCATGTTGACAGATTACTCCACGATGGTGGACCTTGACAGCATGCCTCCAAAACAAACAGCTCATCCAATCATGGATGTGTTTGTTCGCTGGAGACTCCAGAGAGTTTTAAGCACGCTGTAAGTGCCTCGGGATTTAAATCTCAGTGACGGATGCTCGACCTTTGGCAGGAGCACGCATGGGTCGGAATAACGAGGCCTTATGCTGCCGCTTCACCAGCTGCAAGCAGGCGGAGAATGAATCCTTTTGACGACTTTTTTGTACGCTTGAAGAGTTTGCTGAGGAGATCGACGTCTGCAAGTACAGCCGGAATGTGGAGGAAGCCTGGATCACACGGGATCTTGACAGGTGTCAGGGTGTTAAAGAGCAGCAGCTTACTCATCCCCCTGACGCTTCTCCACACTCCAGGTGGTAGGACTGAATGTTGGTTATATCAGGCCACCAAGTCCGGGGCCACACCTCTGCCTTACGGGTTCTACCTGCTGTGAGAGCTCTCACAATACAAGAAGAGTAAGAAGGCGGGCCAACAAATGCTAAGGCTGCCACACGTTTCCACGCCCGCTTAGTGCTTCCTTGTGGCAGCCAGAAAGCAGCACAGCCCCCAAGACTCTGCCCGGCCGACGCCCAGACTGTGTCGTGATGTGACAGGCGCCACTGGCTCAACACAGACAGGTGCCCTGCACGAGACCGGCAGTCAGGCTGCGGCTGCGGACACGGCAAGTGCTGCCGCCAACCCAAGCCCAAAGCCCGAGACTCAGGAGGTGATAGCAAGACTCCGGGTGGTTCAGACACAGCCCCCTCCAGATGGCCCACGCAGCCCTCAAGCAGCAGCGGAGTCACATCGGGAGGGTGGAATTGACCACGCCCAGGGCTACCCCCTTCCTCTACCATCCGCGTCGCCGCCACACACGTGATGTAAGTCGTAATACATCGAGGGTATACCGGACACCGCGGCCAAGGATATTAATGGATTGGGTTGAAGCACTTCCAGAATTGGGCCTCACCAAATCTGACCTGGGACCACCGCCGCAGCTGCAGTACTACAATGTGGATTTGCCCCAGATGCCAGACACTGTGGCCTTTCAAACAGAGATCACTTTACGGCGACAGGTCGTCACGGATGGATCAACTTGCAGCCTACTCACACACCCTTTGTTGTCGTGGGAGCAATTTTAAGGAGTTATGCGTGGTACCCAGAGACTTTCCTAGCAGATCCCAGCCAGCACTGCCAGCAGGGTGCGGAGCCGACGAGCGACGCGCCTGGCGCTGCCACACAGACTGTCGAACCCACGGCCCACTTACCCACAGAGGACGCTTCTGCCCAGATCCTGTATGGTCACCTCTCCGCTTTGTGCGTTCTTGCATGCCATGCCTTTTATGAGGGACTGGCAGACCAGAGCCGAGGCTGCGACTCGGCTGGCGCCTGCCACATCGCGGCCCAGGACGCTGCCAAGGCTCGGTGGCGACTACTGTGCCTGCCTCTTCAGCTGCTGGAGATTGGTGCCCTTGTCTGCGTCTAAGACCACTTGATGACACGTTGGGACAAGGTGGGCATAGTGATGGGCGCTGCTGTCGCTGGGACTACAAGGTCAGGATGTTGAGGGTCGTGGTTCGGTGGAGGTGAACTGGCTGGCTTCCTCCGCCAGTCTCAATTTCTGCTGGCCCTGACCGAGGACGAGTCACCACACCTCACGAGGATCCGGTCCCCCACAGTGCACTCCTGACGCCGGAGCCACTTAGGGACTGAGAAGTCCCAGCCAAGACAAAGACTATGTGAGCTGCAGGGGCAGGAGATGGAAGGTATCTATACAACAAAGTAGCAACTGTAGAATAATAATGTGCCGAGTGGCATTTATATATATCATGCGGAAACACTGCACTTGTTATGTAAGGCATTGCCCCCAGGTTGCTGAGGCATAAGGCAGCCTCAGTTCGACTGTGTGAGCTGTGCATGGCATGCTTAGTCACCGCTTGTATTTCTCCTATCCCTTAATAAATCTGACTCTCAGTGTTTTCCCCACCATCACTGCATTCTTCAGGGAACACTTGTAACCATCAACCTCCACCTTCAGTGTCTACCTCCACCCCTGTGTCTAAGTCCACCTTCAGTGTCTACCTCCACCTTCAGTGTCTACCTCCACCTTCAGTGTCTCCCTCCACCTTCTGTGTCTACCTCCACCTTCAGTGTCTACCTCCAACCCTGTGTCTAACTCCACCCCTTGTGTCTACCTCCACCTTCACTGTCTACCTCCACCTTCAGTGTCTACCTTCACCTTCAGTGTCTCCCTCCACCTTCTGTGTCTATGTACCCCTGTGTCTACCTCCCTTCAGTGTCTACCTCCACCTTCAGTGTCTCCCTCCACCCCTGTGTCTACCTCCACCTTCAGTGTCCCTCCACCCCTGTCTCCCCTCCACCTTCAGTGTCTACCTACACCTTCAGTGTCTACCTCCACCTTCATGTCTCCCTCCACCCCTGTGTCTACCTCCACCTTCAGTGTCTCCCTCCACCTTCAGTGTCTACCTCCACCTTCAGTGTCTACCTCCACCTTCAGTGTCTCCCTCCACCTTCTGTGTCTACCTCCACCTTCAGTGTCTACCTCCAACCTGTGTCTAACTCCACCTTCAGTGTCTACCTCCACCTTCAGTGTCTCCACCTTCAGTGTCTACCTCCACCCCCTGTGTCTACCTGCACCTTCAGTGTCTACCTGCACCCCTGTGTCTACCTCCACCTTCAGTGTCTCCCTCCACCTTCTGTGTCTCACGTGCACCCCCTGTGTCTACCTCCACCTTCGTCTACCTCCTCCCTGTGTCTAACTCCACCTTCATTGTCTACCTCCACCTTCTGTGTCTACTTCCACCATCAGTATCTACCTCCACCTTCAGTGTCTACCTCCACCTTCAGTGTCTACCTCCACCCCTTGAGTCTACCTCCACCTTCTGTGTCTACCTCCACCCCCTGTGTCTCCCTCCACCCCTGCGTCTACCTCCACCTTCAGTGTCTACCTCCACCTTCAGTGTCTACCTCCATCCTGTCTACCTCCATCCCCTGTCTACCTCCATCCCCTGTGTGTCTACCTCCACCCCTTGTGTCTACCTCCACCCCTGCGTCTACCTCCACCTTCGTGTCTACCTCCACCTTCAGTGTCTACCTCCACCCCTGTCTACCTCAACCCCTGTGTGTCTACCTCCACCCCCTGCGTCTACCTCCACCTTCAGTACCTCCACCTTCAGTGTCTACCTCCATCCCCTGTGTCTACCTCCACCCCTGTGTGTCTACCTCCACCCCCCTGCGTCTACCTCCACCTTCAGTGTCTGCCTCCACCTTCAGTGTCTACCTCCACCCCAGTGTCTACCTCCACCCCCTGAGTCCACCTCCACCTTCTGTGTCTACCTCCACCCCTGTGTCTACCTCCACCTTCAGTGTCTACTTCCACCTTCAGTGTCTACCTCCATCCCCTGTGTCTCCACCTTCAGTGTCTACCTCCACCTTCAGTGTCTACCTCACCCCTTGTGTCTACCTCCAACTTCAGTGTCTCACCTCCACCTGTGTCTACCTCCACCTTCATTGACTACCTCCTCCTTCAGTGTCTATCCACCTTCAGGTGTCTACCTACACTTTCAGTGTCTACCTCCACCGCCTGTGTCTACCTCAACCCCTGTGTCTACCTCCACCCCTGTGTCTACCTCCACCCCCCTGTGTCTACCTCCACCTTCAGTGTCTACCGCCACCTTCTGTGTCTACCTCCACCTTCAGTGTCTACCTCCACCTTCTGTGTCTACCTCCACCTTTAGTGTCTACCTCCACCTTCAGTGTCTACCTCCACCTTCAGTGTCTACCTCCACCTTCAATGTCTACTTCCACTTTCAGTGTCTATCTCCACCTTCAGTGTCTACCTCCACCTTCAGTGTCTACCTCCACCTTCAGTGTCTACCTCCACCTCCAGTGTCTACCTCCACCCTCTATGCCTACCTCCACCTTCAGTGTCTACCTCCACCCCCTGTGTCTACCTCCACCTTCAGTGTCTACCTCCACTTTCAGTGTCTTCCCACCACCCTCTGTGCTACCTCCACCTTCAGTGTCTAACTCCACCCCTGTGTCTACCTCCACCTTCATTTACCTCCACCTTCAGTGTCTACCTTCACCTCTGTGCCTACCTCCACCTTCAGTGTCTACCTCCACCTTCAGTGTCTACCTCCACCTTCTGTGTCTACCTCCACCCACTGTGTCTACCTCCACCCCCTGTGTCTACCTCCACCTTCTGTGTCTACCTCCACATTCAGTATCTTCCTCCACCCTCTGTGCCTACCTCCACCTTCAGTGTCTACCTGGGCTCCACTCCACCTCTGGTGTGTTCTTGTCTCTGGTGTTCTTGAGTCTCTCTAGTGTGTTCTTGAGTCTCTGGTGTGTTCTTGAGTCCTGGTGTGTTCTTGAGTCTCTGTTCTTGAGTCGCTCTGGTGTGTTCTTGTGTCTCTCTGTGTTCTTCAGTCTCTCTGGTGTGTTCTTGAGTCTCTAGTGTGTTCTTGAGTCGCTCTGGTGTGTTCTTGTGTCTCTCTGTTCTTGAGTCTCTCTGGTTTGTTCTTGAATCTCTCTGGTGTGTTCTTGAGTCTCTCTGGTGTGTTCTTGGGTTTCTCTGGTGTGTTCTTGAGTCTCTCTGGTTTGTTCTTGAGTCTCTCTGGTGTGTTCTTGAGTCTCTCTGGTGTGTTCTTGTGTCTCTCTGGTGTGTTCTGGGTCTCTCTCTGGTGTTCTTTTGGTCTATCTGGTTTGTTCTTGTGTCCTCTGGTGTGTTCTTGTCTCTGGTGTGTTCTTGAGTCTCTCTGGTTTGTTCTTGAGTCTCTCTGGTGTGTTCTTGAGTCTCTCTGTGTTCTTGAGTCTCTCTGGTGTGTTCTTGGTCTCTCTGGTGTGTTCTTGAGCTTCTGGTGTGTGGTTTGGTTTCTCTGGTGTGTGCTTGAGTCTCTCTGATGTGTGCTTGTATCTCTGGTCTGTGCTTTTGGCTCTCTTGTGTGTGCTTGAGTCTCTCTTGTGTGTGCTTTGGTTTCTGATTTGTTCTTGAGTCTCTGTGTGCTTGAGTCTCTCTGGTGTGTGCTTGAGTCTCTCTGGTGTGTGCTTGAGTCTCTCTGGTGTGTTGTGTCTCTTGTGTGTGCTTGAGTCTCTCTGTGTGTGCTTGAGTCTCTCTGGTGTGTTCTTGAGTCTCTCTGGTTTGTTCTTGAATCTCTTGTGTGTGTTCTTTCTCTCTGGTGTGTTCTTGAGTCTCTGGTGTGTTCTGAGTCTCTCTGGTTTGTTCTTGAATCTCTGTGTTCTTGAGTCTCTCTTGTGTGTTCTTGAGTCTCTGGTGTGTGCTTGAGTCTCTCTGGTGTGTGCTTGAGTCTCTGGTGTCTTGGGTCTCTGGTGTGTTCTGGTCTCTCTGGTGTTTGGGTCTCTGTGTGTTCTTGAGTCTCTGGTGTGTTCTTGAGTCTCTCTGGTGTGTGCTTGAGTCTCTGGTGTGTGCTTGAGTCTCTGTTCTGCTTGTCTCTGGTGTGTGCTTGAGTCTCTGGTGTGCTTGAGTCTCTGTGTGTGCTTGTGTCTCTCTTGTGTGTGTGTGCTTGAGTCTCTGGTGTGTGCTTTGGTCTCTGGTTTGTTCTTGGGTCTCTGTGTGTGCTTGTCTCTGGTGTGTGCTTGAATCTCTCTGGTGTGTTCTTGGGTCTCTGGTGTGTTCTTGAGTCTCTCTGGTCTGTGCTTGGGTCTCTCTGGTGTGTGCTTGAGTCTCTCTGGTCTGTGCTTGGGTCTCTCTGTGTAGACAACTGTCAGCAAGTGTTCCCGTGGAGCAGCTCAGACCCCTGTTGCTCCTCCAGCCATTTAGAGAATAAGAAAGACCTTCCCAGCCAATTTTCTGGGCTGGACAATCTAACTGTTGGATTACGAGGTTGACTGGCCCCCTTGAACGGTTCCTCGTCACTGAAAAGCTTGGACGAATAAATGCGTCTCCAATATCGGTAGTTCTCGAGACGAAGGGAATGATGGAGGGCGTGGGTATACTTCCCCTAGGTTGCTATGTATCATCAGGGGGTAAAAGGTGGATAGTCTTGGTGGTGACAGGTACAGTCGCCTGCACTTATAATGGGTACAGTGGCTGCCGCGTTTTGTGAGATGTGCGAACTGTGTTTATTGACATCGTATTAAACTCCGGAATGATCCCAAGGCGCCTCACAATAGTAGCCAGACAGAGTTGCCACATCTACTATACCAGGTATACAGTAAGTGCAGGCGACTGTACACCATTTAATGTTGTGTAGTTCCACGAGTCTCCGTAGTGAGTCCTGACAATACATCACATGATAATTGAATCTTCATATTTGACTCTTTTTTTTCATTTAATATTCAATAAAGTTTGTATAACTTATCAAATTTGAAAAAAAAAGTATTCTGATGTCATGAAGTCACAGTCAAAGATAAACACTGTACTGTGTTTGGTATTAACAAATACTTTATATATATCAGCCCTAAAGAAGAAGTAAAATGATTCAGTGTCTCAGCATTCAAAAATATTAATAGCAAATGGTGGAAAAATTCTCATCTCTCGACGGAGGAGCCACTCTGGTGCCTTGATAAGGAATTCAGTTCTAGTCAATTTTTCTTCCTTTTCTTTCCACAGATTCTTTTTGCTATGGACCTGACCCCATTCTCTTCTAACATAACCATTTTCTCCCTTTCTTGAGAGATGTCTTACACTCTTGTTTGGAACGTAGCTGCCCTCGCTGTCCTCATCTTTATTCTTATATATATATATATATATATATATATATATATATATATATATATATATATATATATATATATATATAAATAAAAACAAAGAAGTATGTCTGTGTGTGTGTGTCCGCACGAGAATCTCGGAACTACTTTACCGATCTGTAGTGATGATGGATGGTGTTATATGTGTGATGATAATGTGTTGTATGTAGTAATGATGGATGGTGTTAGTGATGATGGATGTTGTTATATGTAGTGATGATGGTGGTGTTATATGTAGTGATGATGGATGGTGTTATATGTAGTGATGATGGATGATGTTATATGTAGTGATGATGGGTGGTGTTATATGTAGTGATGACAGATGGTGTATATGTAGTGATGATGGATGGTGTTATATGTAGTGATGATGGGTGGTGTTATATGGTGTGATGATGGATGATGTTATATGGTGATGATGGGTGTTATATGAGTGATGATAGATGATGTTATATATAGTGATGATGGATGTAGTTATATGTAGTGATGATGGATGATGTTATGGTGATGATGGGTGGTGTTATATGTAGTGATGATGGATGGTGTTATATGTAGGATGATGGATGATGTTATATATAGTGATGATGGGTGGTGTTATATGTAGTGATGATGGATGATGTTATATGGTGATGATGGGTGGTGTTATATATGATGGATGATGTTATATGATGATGGATGGTGTTATATGTAGTGATGATGGATGATGTTATATGTAGTGATGATGGATGGTGTTATATGTAGTGATGATGGGTGGTGTTATATGGTGATGATGGATGATGTTATATGGTGATGATGGGTGGTGTTATATGTAGTGATGATAGATGATGTTATATATAGTGATGATGGATTGTTATATGTAGTGATGATGGATGATGTTATATGTAGTGATGATGGGTGGTGTTATATGGTGATGATGGATGGTGTTATATGGTGATGATGGATGATATATATAGTGATGATGGGTGGTGTTATATGTAGTGATGATGGATGATGTTATATGTAGTGATGATGGTGTTATATGTAGTGATGATGGGTGATGTTATATGTAGATGATGGATGGTGTTATATGGTGATGATGGATGATGTTATATGTAGTGATGATGGGTGGTGTTATATGTAGTGATGACGGATGGTGTTATATGTAGTGATGATGGATGGTGTTATATGTAGTAATGATGGGTGGTGCTATATGTAGTGATGATGGATGATGTTATATGTAGTGATGATGGATGGTTATATGTAGTGGTGGTGGTGACGGTGGTAGTGACAGTGGTAGTGGTGGTAATGGTGATAGCGGCATGTTTGTGGTGATAGTGGTGGTGGTAGAAACTGGTTGATAGTAAGTAATGATGGTGGTGGTAATGATGATAGTGGTAGTAGTGGTGGTGGTAGTGATGATGGTGGTGGTAGTGATGGATGTGATGGTGGTGCTATATGTAGTGATGATGGATGGTGTTATATGTAGTTATGAAGGATGGTGTTATATGTAGTGCTGATGGATGTTGTTATATGTAGTGATGATGGGTGGTGTTATATGTAGTGATGATGGATGGTGTTATATGTAGTGATGATGGATGGTGTTATATGTAGTGATGATGGATGATGTTATATGCAGTCCTAGACTCTGTTATATTTCACACAAAGCCTGTTTATCGAGCTGATGGCGCCGTGAACCTCATTGGGAACTGCCTGTGCCGGGTATGTGGTGTCAGTAGCATTTTACCAAATCCAGCTGGTATGAAACATGAGGTACCATATATATACTTCAATTTTAGTCCATATAACACGCGGACTTTGAACATATAATCAACGACCTCACCAGCCAGGACTCGAACCCTCGACCTACTGGGTGGGACTAGGGAATGCTACCGACCAACCCACAAGGACACTAAAAGCAGTCCTAGACTCTGTTATATTTCACACAAAGCCTGTTCATCGAGCTGATGGCGCCGTGAACCTCATTGGGAACTGCCCCACGCTACCTGCACAAACAAGATGCTCTGATTCTGCTGAGTGTATGGTTTAAAGTGTGGCGTGGCCTCCTGGACTCCATGAGGCAGATCGCCTTCTCAAGTGATGCTGTGATGACCATGCAGCCACTGCTGTGAGGACCATGCAGCCACCAGCCCTCTGTGGTAAACACCGACTCCCACTCCTGGCCGTTTTGTGCTGGAACAATTTGCACAGTACTATTGTCCCTTGGAACACCATACTGGTTCGCATTGACCCGCACTTGTAAGTACAGCCAAAGTGATGACATACCCCTCAGTACTGAAATATTGTGGACTAATTATGCCCACTCGTTTCTGCCTTATCTGGAGAAATACAACAATGCGGGATGAAATGTAACTAAGATTAATAGAGTTATGAACTTTGTATCATGTCACTATGCTTAATAATCAATTGTAATTAAGATGAAATCGTCTGAGACTAACTAATTATGTATCAGATAGATCACCATGTAATACTAATGAACGCCTCATTCTCTGCAGGTTTTGACCACATCAATAAATACTGAATGCGTCAAGAGGCGAGTTTTAATCATTCCCTTCGATTTGCCCGTCACCTGAACGTCCTTAACCAAGGCGTTTATAAATATATATATATGCTCTCACTTTCATTTATGAATAAATCTCTCCACACTTTTATTTTCAATCTAGACTGCTCAATTTTGCTTTTCATTCCACACTTTTGTCCGCCAGTGATCACAATTTCTCGTAGTGTAGTTCCCGCCGCCTACACTCTTGTTTGATGGTACATTTCACTCACTGTCGCTTTTGATCTTGTGTGTGTGTAATCTTTCCTGTCAGTTGGGTCTCTACTGTAAAACTGCAATGTTTGTACGCGATTCTGTCTAAACATTTAACGGGTTATTACATCTTTGCATCACAACCAGAGTAACGTCGATACACACTGCCACATGTAACAAGTTATAGTGTACAAATCTTCATGACAAACCGTCTCATGTGTCGTGTAAGTTACAAATGTCATCTGGTCTGACTATCAGAGTGCAGGACAACCCTTGGTGGAGTATGAGCGTGGCGGGGACATCCTACACTTGCAGTACAATGCGAGGTGTGGTGAGGACTCTCTATTATTGGTGAAAATAGTATGTAGTGTGGTCAAGACACACCACATATGATGGACTAAGTATGCTGTGTGGTTAAGACAGGTCACACTTGGCAGGAAGCTGGTGTTGTGAGGAGACGACATCCCAACACTCAGCAAGCATCCTAGGGCGTTCCTCCTCCTCACATTGCAGGAGTGTGTTGGTTATCTCCTGATCCCTGTATACACAACTTATCACAAAACTTAGGTAAGGTTGTCTTAACAAACGGACCAAGTTGTCTTGAGATATTCAGGATTTATGACAAACTTCCCAGAAGAAATTTAATAGTTTACCAGAAAGTGAGAATTTCATACTTAGTCACTCACTCACTCACTCACAGGGACAATGAACGTGAAAATGAAAGTAAAAGCTAACATGACTTATTATGAGGAAGGTGACCTAAAATACCTTCAGTATTAGTGTCAGTATAAGGAAGATAGACCAGTGTTGCTTCAGTATTAGTGTAATGATAAATAAGATCATTTATGGACTCCATTTGTCGGTATCCCGAGACAACACCATCGACGTTTGTTGATTTCGATACTAACAAAGTAAAGTTTTATCAGGATTATATTACGATACCTTGAGACAGTAGTACTCTTAACTACCTCACGTTTAAGATCAATTAACTACTTTTCATCCATATAAATTATTGTTTTGTTTTTGCTTCATATCTTTCGTTTAGTTGTTTATTACAGTCAGTTAGTTGTTGTAGCTTTCTATAAAATGTGCACTGGATCTCGTGTGTCAGTCGTCCAGCCCTTTCATAGTCAATAGCCTCAGATGCCGCTATTGTTTCATCTAAGTCAATGAAAGAATTAACATGTTTACATTAGTAATTACACAAGAACGGTGCTGGACGCAGGTGGGAGCGGTGGTGCGACTCACCTCCTCATTGGCTTCTGTTCCCACTATGTTTACCATTAATTGTGGATTTAAATGCATGCGATGTTGTTTCAAAATAGACTGTAAAAGCACTCTCGCTCCCAACACTGCTTCCGGAATTATTCTGTGGGGAATTTCAGCCAAGTTGGAATGTTTTGGTAGTACACTTTCT